TTCTAGAACTAATGGGTAATTTACATTCATTTCAGCTCAAGCGGGCGACTTGGCAACTGCTAAAGCCGCTGCACAGGCTGCTGGTAAGTCAATGAAAGCAGTTTACTTTGATTGATAATCAATCAATAATTGCGATCATCTTACAACCGTTTTTTTTCCAGCCGCTGCCAAGGGAGAAAGCAAAGGTATGAGAGCTTGATTTAAAACTCAAATTGGACATTTTTGAAATATTATTCTAGAACTAATGGGTAATTTACATTCATTTCAGCTCAAGCGGGCGGCTCGGCAACTGCTAAAGCCGCTGCACAGGCTGCTGGTAAGTGAATGAAAACAGTTTACTTTGATTGATAATCAATCATTAATTGCGATCATCTAACAACCGTTTTTTCTCCAGCCGCTGCCAAGGGAGAAAGCAAAGGTATGAGAGCTTTTCATTGTATAATTTTAAAGTGAAACACCAGCGCAAACACGCAGTATAAAACTTTGAAAAACATCTTCGTTTTTGTATCATTCATATAATTGCCAGAATATATCTTGTTTTCAATCTCACCCATTCATCTAAATTTTACACAAAATAGGTCAATGTGGTTTTGGAGGCAAATCAAGTTAAACTGCAGCTGCATTAGCTAGCGCTAATAGTCGAGGCCAAGGTGTGCTATGACACTTGATTCGTTCACAATTTTGATCAAAATTTTGGTGACATTCAATTTTACCACAAAGATTTATAGGCTTCAATTTTGAGCTTCAAAACCACTGAACGACTGAATGCCGTTAAAATCAGTTCTAATTTTGTGTTAAAACTCATAAAACTTGTTGTGAAATCTAATGATCATTTCTACTCGAATGAGTAGACATAAGTAGCTACTCTTAAACACGCCCTAAATTTGCCTATAATATTCAAGCACGGTGAAGTGCAATGGTAATATATTTAGCAAATCCAAAACGTTTCAGAGTTCAGTTTGCATTGCTTTTGTCCCTATCAGAAGATCACTGACTTGAATCATGCACAGAGAAAAATAAAATCATTTTCGCGTAGCAAAATATTGTAATGTGACGAATTCCAACACATGCTGAGATTTTCACAACAAATTATTTTTCTCTGTGTGAATGACGTTTAAAAAGTCATTTCTGACAAATGCCATTTCCAACATTTGGATAAACCTTATGACGAAAGAATTTACTTATACTTCCAAATTTTACCGTATAGATGCCGTTAGAGCATTCATTGCTGAATATTTTCCATTTACAGCGCAGTTTGTTGATAATATTTGTCATCATGTTGAAAATATTCTGACAAAAAGTGGGTATGCTCTAATGAAATGAGGAGATATGAGTATCTAATCTAAGCATACCCCAGTTTTGCAATCTCAAGAAATTTAAATTAAATTAGACAGTTTCTGAACTAATTACCTTTTTATAACGCTCTATTCGCCTTAGGTCAATCTGCTGCACAAGCTCAAGCTGCAGGTAAGTCCATGAAAACAAGTTTAATTTGATCATCATCGATTCATTCAATTGTATGCTCGTCTTTTTTGTTCAGCAAAAGCCGCAGCATCGGCTATCTCAAAAGGTGGAAGTGCTCATACACAATCCCAAGCTAAAGCAGCAGCAAGTTCAACCGCAGGTACGTAAATCGAACTAACAAGAGAAGTTCTATCGATCAATTTACAAATAAATGCAATGAAATTGAACGGAAAAGGTTAAATGCTAATCAACACTGTACTAATATTGTAGGTGCCTGTGCTAAATGTGGAGCACAAGCTGGTGCAGGTAGTGAAATAAATCGTCATTGCATACATATCGCAGTTGAACTTCAAGTAAATGAAATAATTTTCTTTCATTTCAGGATCATGTGGATGTGGACAAGCGCAGGTAATTGACTAAATTATGACATGAATCGAGTGCCACGAGTTTTGATAACAAAATTTCCAAGCCAATTGAGTTGAATTGTATTTTAACCAAGAAAAATCGATATCAACAGGCTATGTCAAGTGCAACCGCATCTGCTCAAAGCAACGAAAGTGGTAAATCTCAAGCCTCATCATCGGCATCTGCAAGCAGCTCATCGAACGGTGGAAAAGCAACTTCATTCGCTGCGGCTAGAGCGTCAGGTAAAGCAAGAACAAAATACAATGGAATCGACAGAAAATAACGATGGCGTGTATGTTTTTACAGCATAAATTAATTTTTTTGGCAAATATTTCGGACATATCGGACACACGACATGGCAACGATTATAATTCAACGGCATTTGATTTACCCTCTTTGCTTTAAGTTACACAGCATTCAAAAAATCCCGAAAATATTATACAACTTGTATAGGTTTTCACAAAAAAAAATTGAAGAACCAACACCCTCTATATGATATAAGTAGCATCCCAGAAAATGTAAAAAAAAAATTCGTTAAGAAAAACGAAAATTCTAAATATATTCAAACACCAACACTATAACATGGAGTTTAAATTCATTTTTCCAATATTTCATTGCTAAAAGAATGTGCAGTTTGTAGTACAACAAATATTATATTGCTATAGGCACGATACATCAAAGGCTATTATCACACAAACCGACTGAATAATACTGGATTGCAATAAGAGATATGCAATACCTGTCTTCAGCAAAGTACTACAAATTTGTTGAATACACTAATAATAAGTCGTTATCTCTTATCAGTTACGCGGAAAATGACAACAGAAAATTCGCCTTGAGAAGAAAAAAAACTTTGATTTTATTCATAGAAGAATTGAAATGAATTTGGGAATGACAAATGACTGTGACCACCTCGGATGTCAACGACGAAAAGAATGTGCTCGTGCTGTCACAACGGAGGCGACGAAGCAGTGAATAAAATACATGCGATGGTGTGTGTGAACTTTCATTGAAAGTACTCATGTTCACTCAATTCTCTCCTGACACTCTTTCTATGTGACGAATATGAAGTCTTCGGCGATTTGATTCAACACGATGGGATGTCACTAGTCGTGATAAAAAAGAATTAAATTTCACAAAGAACAAAAACAATGCAATTCTGAATAACTGATCCGATTTTTTATCGGATAAATAAAATCCGATTTTTTATAAATTTCACAATTGCTTCTTATAAATTCCAAATGGGTTTTATCAAAATTGTATTCAAATGACCTCTGTGAATTCTTGACGCTATTTCCTATGTAGATAATTGAGATCTCCAACTTCGGAATTATGTGCAAATCGAATATTATATCATTTCTATGTGTTGCAACACTTTTCCGTTGTGTTGCCCAGAACATGCCTTGCATTGACAAACATGTACACCGGTTTTCATTACAAATACATTTATGTTGATTTTGCATATATTCAGACTGTGTATCACGCAGTTTATCCAAAAGAGAGCGAAAGTGAGAGTGAGGAACAGTATATGAAGTTTCATCGACAAATATAGTACAACTAAAAACAACAGAATTTACTTGGGTGACGTCGCCAACGACGAATGTTTCCGAAACGCACATACACACTTAATCGCCACAGAATAGTGAACATGTACTTATGTTCTCCTTTTTGCGTTATTCCATCGTTTGCAACTCAAGCGAACCTTCATTCCATAGAGAGTGACAATTAACGCAGCAACTCATTCGCCGCATATGTGATCATTCATTCAATTTCCAATTTACAAACTAAAACAATTCAATTTGTAATTTCTTTAACAAGTAAAACGATTCCATTGGTAAAATAAGTAAATATTTAAGAAAAAATTGGTTATTTAAAAACTTTGAAACAGAAAAAAGAATCAATTTTCAATTTGTCATCATTCAATTGGCTCTCTTCAAGCTACACATAAGAGCTCAATGAGAAAAAAGTGAAGTCGTCAAATTTTCCAGTGTCATTCGAATCGCACAAGTGTGTTTTTGTATAAAAAGTGATATAATACGCATAAATTATTGCGCAATCTGGTGTAAGTGTAGACTTTGATCCCTAAAAGTGTGTGAAAACGAACAAAAAAAATCGAAGAAATTTAAAATGTTTTAAACAAATTTTCGTAAAACCTTAAAGATCTTTAGCAAAATGACGTTTAATTGAAAGAAAGTTGAACTAGAAGAAAAATTTTATGTTCAAACATTTTTACCGGAGTAAAAATGATTCCATACTGTTAGTGATAATTTTGACTCATTTTATGGCAAACCTTTGGTTTACGGAAAATCATTTTTAATTCAAAATTATTTGAAAAATCATAATATCGGTAGAAAAATGATACCAAACCAAAGAAAATTTCATTGTGACGATTGAATCAAAATTTCATTCTTTTCCCACATTCACAGAATCCATCAAAATGTCATCAATTTCGAATAATTGTTCAAAACGAATCGAATTGCTGTATCTAAACGAGGAGGATGCCGATGTATGGTTCGTGTTTGACGATGCCCGAGTGCCAGCCCATAAGCTGATATTGACTACGACGAGTCCATGGATGAAAACAATGTTTTTCGGTTCATTGCCCGAGGGAAACGAAGTGGATATGACGCGTGCAAAGGTCACATCCACCGCATTCAAAGAATTTTTACAGTTTTTCTACACCGACAAAGTGAAGTTAACGATGGCAAATATTGAAAGTGTTATTGATTTGGCAAAGCAATCGCTATCAGATCACATTTTCATTGAATGTGAAGAATTCCTTGTAAAATCCATAACAACCGATACAATGTGTTTTGGATATCAGTTGGCATTGCGTTATGGTGCGTCCAAACTGAAGAAAATCTGTGAAGATGAAATTTGTGTGAATGCCGAAGAGGTGTTGCGATCGTCGAGCTTTATGGATTTCCCATATGAATTTTTGCAACAGATTTTACAGTGCGATGCCTTGGCTTGTGAAGAGAAAGACGTGTTCAATGCCTGTATTGCATGGGCAAAAGCGGCTTGTAAACGGAATGACGAAGATCCGTCAAAAGCAACCAATTTACGAGCACAACTCAAAGACACTGTTCATCAAATTCGCTTTGTTTCCATGACCAATGAAGAAGTCGCCGCTTGCATCGGTTCGTGTCCAGGTTTTTTCACCGCAGATGAATTGGAAGAAATTATTCGCATGACAGCATCAAAGTCAGTGAAGAAATGCAACGAAGTGAACAAGTTCAACTGGACACCACGATATTTTAACCTTCAATGGGACAACGGACATCGTTTGGAGTGTCGACGATTCATGTTTCGAGACAGTGACCCGAACAGATATAAGGTCCAGGAAGTGGAAATAACTTCATTTACTTGCAATCGACGTGTTCTTTTGCGTAGTTTCAACTGTGAATGCACACAAGTTGCGATGAAAGCCGCAAATGTTGAGATCATTGAGAAGAGATGCAATGGCGATGATCCGGTTGAACGATACAACGAAGAAACAATGCTGGATTTTAAAGAATGGATTATAGGATTGCAAGCCAATCCAACGTTTTTTGAAGCCGAATTTATACTAAACAAAGCGATTCTACTTCGGCCAAAGTACATTTATGTTATTAAAATCACATTCCAACCGGAACTAGAAGAGGCCGAAGCATATCCACAATTGTACAATGACGGTGTTTATAAATCCAGTGTTGTAATTGATTTTGATATTTTGATCAAGTTCAGTCAGACGAGAGGAATCATCTCGTCGCTCAGTCTCAGCCGATTTGACAGGAAAAATCTCATTCAGAAACTCATTCGCAAGCCATTGCTGTGGTTCTAAATTGCATCGTTTATCAGCAGCATAGATGAAAATAGCACACAGTCTACTACACTCGTTCAGCGCTGCTCGGACTATCGCATTTTATTCTCATATATCATATAGCTCATGCACTCTTTTATTCACTATATTCCAAGTCATTGATTTTTTTTAGAACAAATAATATCAATCAAAATTACGGGACATTTTCTATTCTGATGAAGAACATTCCTGGATCAAATTCAAATAAGAAAACTGTTAAAAATCTAAGAAAAAAATCTCCTTTTCAAAACATCCCTTGCCAAATAAAAAGCGGATTTATGCCAAAAGCTGAATACCAAATATCGATTATCTTTAAGAACAGTTTTGAGCTCGATTGTTTTTTTCTGAATAAAGTAAATGAATAAATTTTTCATCAGAAATCATTCATCTGTTTTTTTTTTTCATTCCTAACAATCAAATTTCTCAAAACAGTGTTCATGTAGCGAAACTACTGGAATTTTTGCTGGAAAAATTATTTCGTCTCATCTTTCAACGTCAAATCAAAATCAGCCAACTTACAACAACTCTTATCATCGAACAACATGATATTTTTGCTTTTTATATCACGATGCACCATATTTTTCGAATGAATGTATTGTAATGCCGTAAAAGAATCACGAATTGCGTAATTAGCGTATTGTTTGCATTACACACTTTGCCGGAGATTTGTTTACAAAGAAAAAACGAAAGAAATGAAGGAATGAAGAGAAAAATTCACAGACATAACAAATTATTTCCGAATGTATTTTGTTTGCATATGTGTGTGTATGTCGAGCCGACGTCGCCGACGAACAAAAATAGCTTTGCATTGATAGTATATGCACAAACGCACACAATCAGCAAAATGTCATTTACATGAAAGGCTCAACACATTGATCGTGTTCATAGTTCAACTGATGCTCGTATAATTATCGGCTAAAAGTGTTCAATTCAGCGGTTTTGTATACAAACAAACGCTTCGTCGTTTTGTGCTAGCATTCAATATACATAAATATATATTGCATATGCAAATCTCAGTATGGCAAAGTGAGCATTTTCTGATTATTATAAACTTGATACTTGTTATTCATTCGTCCATGTAATATCGACTTGACATGTCATTTCTTACATCAGAGATATTTTTATCGAAGTAAATCATTCAAAAACTATTCAATAAAGTGATCAAAAATTTAATCCAAGCGGCAAATCATTTACCAAAAAGTGGAATTTTGTTCAAATTGAATGTGAGTTCTGGACTTTTATACTTTTTCACTGTGTGCATTAGTAAGTCTTTGGAACACTTTTGACAAGAATGGTAAACATGTTGACAAAATGTAATTTTTGAACAAGACGCTTACAAAAACTTGAACAAATTACATTGCATATCGTGCTAAGGAGTTCATTAGCAGCGCGACCGCGGATCGGCTAGTTGAGAATAAATCGACAGTTTTTGGGACATTGAAAGATGAATTGAAACATGAATTGAAGCAAAAAATTTATTGAAAACATTTGCTGTGCTAGCTAGCATAATTTTGTGGATTGAATTGAATTTCATATTTGTTCCATGTTCGATTCCACACAATATGATATTGATTCGATGAAAAAATTAATAATAACTAAAAACAACCTTTATATCGATTTAATTTCGCTCCATTGCAAATTTTCAGTGAACAATGGCATTTTCGTTTGGTGATTCATCTCCGCATTATAACGACTATGATTATGATGACTATGAAGATGACGATCCTTTTGTTGATTGCAAATTTTGTGACGAGCCAGTGCTGTCAAGTCGCATGGAAAAGCCATAACCATTGCCGTGAATGTGACTATATGAACGGTGAATCTCTTAAGGCGCACATCGAGCAAAGCATATGGTTTCATGTAAATATTGCGATGCAAAAAGATTTGCTGATGAATTGACGCATTCGGTGGTTGGTTTAGTTCAGCTTGGAAAACTCACCGATGAACGATTCAACCAGCTTGTTGCCGAAAATCGCATCTACGCCAAGGAAGGATGTCTCTATATCAAAGATCCCAACGAATGCCGAATATTTCTGGTATTTAAACATGATTCAAAATTAAGCCATTCAATTAAAAAACAAAATTAATCGATTTTCTACTCTTGAAAACAATTTACATCAATAAAAAATATCGAGTCTTTTGAAAAAATAAAACAGTTGCCAATATTATATTTGTCTGTGAATGTTTCACTGAATCGTTCATTTGAATCTTTCCAATTTGTAGGACAACCCTGAATGGAATCGATCTGTCAAGGCGGTTTTGACGTTCCACAATCACAAGTGTCAAACAATTTATCAAGAAAGGCATTACAACACACGAGTGCTGATAAAACAAATCATTATTTTGATTTTAATTCAACTTTATTTTATCTATACAAGTGATTGGTGTTTTATTTTGAGGTAATGTGGTATTTCAATATTTTACCTTTCTGCACTAATCAGTTTTTTAGCAGATAATAGTGCTTTCGTGTATCATTTTAGCTGTATTATAGTCCTCTTCTAATCTAAACTAGTTTGTTTCTTTTCTAGCCTATCGAAATGTCAGACAATAGAAGTGGTCTCTTGCAAAAGATTCAAAGTTTATATTTGAATCCGGATGGTGCTGATGTTTGGTTCGATTTTGACGATGATCATGTTCCTGGGCACAAATTTGTATTAACTGCCACTAGCCCATGGCTAAACACAATGTTCAATGGATCACTGCCGGAGACTGGAAATGTTGATATGACCAATTCACAAGTGACAGTCGCTGCGTTTAAAGAATTTTTACAATTTTTTTACTTGGAAAATGTAACGCTTACAATAGATAATATTGAGGGTGTTTTTCATTTGGCCAAACAATCATTATCGAAAGATATTTTTGCGAAATGTGAACAATTTCTAATCAGATCGTTAACAATGGATAAAATGTTCTATGGATACCAATTGGCGCTACTGTACGAGGCGGATGAATTGAGGGCGTTCTGTGAAAATGAGATTTGTGTCAATGCAGAATCGACATTTAAATCATCAAGTTTTTTGGATTTTCCGTATTCGATGCTGAAACCAATTTTGGAATGTGATTCATTGGTCTGTGAAGAAAAAGACATTTTTGATGCGTGTATCGCATGGGCAAAAGCGGCTTGTGATCGAAACCAGCAAGTTTCAACAAAAGCCGAAAATCTACGAGCTCAACTTAAGGACTTAATTTATCAAATTCGATTCAGTTCAATGACAAAAGAAGAAGCGGCCGCATGCATCAGATCATGTCACGGCTTATTCACGGCAACCGAACTAGAAGAAATCATGTGTATGGTTGGTCGTGCATCTGATTTTCAAGTAAAAAAGTTCAATTGGACACCACGGTATTATAATCCGAAGTTGAACGGAGACAGAGACCATCAGTTGCTCTGCTGTCGATATAAACGTTTTGATATGGCTGACGACGAATATGCCTTCGAAACAATCGAAACACTTGCATTGACTTGCAATCGTCGCGTTGTATTGAATGGTTTCTATTGTGAAAGTACGAGCTATGGTGCAGCACTGGTTACGGTCACAATTGGCGAAGTAAAATCTACGTCCACTGAAAATGTGATTGAACGCTATAATGATCAAATGGTTATTGATTTTCCTGTCAATGGAACGTATAGAAATTATGAGCAATATGATGAGCATTATGATGGTTGGAATATCAGACGAGTGACACTTCATAAAGGATACATTCAGTTGAACAAAGCAATTTTATTGCGGCCCAATTACAATTACGTGATTGCGATGAGATTCAAAAATAAAGTTTACATTCGTGCACTTAACGGTGAATTAGCAACTAAAGTTAGAGTTGATCACGACATTGTGATTAAATTTCATAACCGTGGAGTAATCACTCAGCTCAGTCTCAGTCGATTTGATAGAAAAACCTATCTTCAAAAAATTGTTCACAATCCCAAAACGTGGATTCTGGTATCAATGGTTGGAGTTTCGTTATACTTCTTCAGAAACCAATGGGTTCCGAAATTGAACATTTTACCATCTTCAAACCTTTTGAAATCAGAAATTTTACCATTTCCAGACGTATTGGAAAATCATCAATCAGAAAATTTCATGGTGCATCTATTTAAAAATGTGATTTCACCCAAATTTTCTTTTTGAAAATTCACTTGTTTATTTTAGTTCATTCAATTGAAATGTAACGCTAGAAGAAAAGAATTTTTACGTGTTGATACGATGGAGTCGTGACGAAACGGAAAATAACAGTTAAATGAACTAATCGCTCTAAGTTTAGTTTATTTAAAAGTAGTGATATCAGATTTTTTTCATTCAAATTTGTAATCATTCGAAATCGACCTTTTCTTACTTTTGAATAAAGAAAAAAATATAAATGAATGAAATAATTTCCATTCGTTTTCATTTTGAAATGTCAAGTAGTTTATGAAAACCAACAACAAGAAGTACATCGCAGACATCGTTGAACATAAACATTGAAAATTGTCATTCAAACAAGTTGCACTTCTGTTTCATACTCGGTTCTGGAATTAATTTTTGTTTGTGGTCTCTGAAACTGAAACACCACCTATTGGCTGCGCCGGCACATAGAAACATCATGCAATAAATTTTGTGGTTGCTTTTACTATTTTGTCTTAATAATACAATTCCCATCGAATTTCATCATTGCTCCTTGTAAATTCCAGGTGAGTTTTATTGAAATTGTATCTAAACAGGCAACATTTTTCCCATTCAAATTTTTTGTGGAAATTGCGATCTCGGAATTCTCAAAGAAAACGCTATTTGCTATGTAAGGGAGATGGTCTAGTTATGAGACAGCGCCAGTTATGAGACAGTCAATTATTTCTGTCATGCGCTATGGAAATGTTGGTATGAGAACTGTCAATGTTCTTTATTTGATGTCCGCCAGTTTTTAGGCGAACACCGAAGTGAATAGACGCATTGCTTGTATACGCACCAAACATCGTGTTGAAAATCGTGTGAAAAAATGATTTGGAATATTTTTCATAGTGCCAATTTTTTGTGAAAATCAAGTTAAAAAGGTGAGTGTAATGCATTAAAATGTTGTATTTTGATTATATTTTGTGATTCTAGTTCGGATTGTTCGATTATGTGTTGTGGAAAATTTTTTGTGAGTAATGTTCAAAATGGCGTCTCGATCCGGTTATAAGACACCGTGTTGCCCAGTTATGAGACACTCTAGATTTTGCACTGAAAGCATATAGAAACGTCATATTTCGTCATTTTTGTTGTCAAAACGCATTTATATGCAATTACAATTGTATTTTAACTAATATTCTCGGATTTTCAGCCATGTCTCCTCCAAAAAAGCTTCATTGCAACGGGCATTGCTCCATATAATCCGGACATCTTTACTGACGCTAACTTTGTCCAAGCCGTTGAACAAAATGACATAGAAGTGGCTATTGATGCTGATATCACCGAAGACGACCAGCGACGTATTGTTTTCAACGATGCCATTGATCCTGTTGGTCGTGAAGAAGAGGTGTTAACATCTGAGCCCTCTGAACTATCCAGCTCGGTGTCACTAATGTCTCTTGCAAGCAACACTTCGTCGGTTTTGGATGCGGTTGGCCCTCTACAAGGCAAAACTCCAAAACCAAAGTCGAATCGTGGACGAAAACCGATGGGAAGTGCTGAATTGACTTCTCCGGAAACCATGTCCGTTTTGAAGCATGTAAGGCCATTAAAGGCCCAATTTTCTATATTTAAGCCATTGAAGGCCTTTATAATAAATAAAGAATAATATTTGAACATTTTATGATGAGTTTCCTTCATATTTATTTACTTGTATTCAATTTTTCTGGGTGTCTCATAACTGGACCAAAATTTTTTTGGGGCCAAAAAAATAGTCCTCACAAAATTGGTCAAATTTTTTTTCGAGTAACTGGAATCAATAAACTTTCATCGGAAAAAAGTTGCGTCTGGACATAAGCTACATGATAGAACTCTAACTTTCCATTTTTGAAAGCCACAGAATTTTTTTTAAATCTAAAACAAAACCCGTCTCATAACTAGACCATCTCCCTTAGATAATTGAGACCAATCTTGCTGTTGCCACACTAATCATTAATGGCAAATGAGATGTGTCACATTTGTCATTTGGTCCGCTCCTGTATTTCCTAATTGTTTTTTCTTGGAAAAGATACATCCTACAGCCAGAGTTGCTACTTAACAGTCGTAGTCAGATGTATTTTTCGAATTAGTTAACATTTTGTGCTCGACTCTTGCAGATCGTTGCTTGAATTTCAAACGGTTCTTTCACATTTTCATCATACGGAGTTATTTTGGTTCATTTTCATTACATTTCCATTTTTTCAACCGATTCTTGATTTGCTGACAATCACAAGTGCCAAACTATCTATTAAAAAGAGCCTAAAAAACATACGTGTGTTTATAAAACGTACTATTATTTTGATTAAATTAACATTTTAACAATTCTAAGTTATTTCCTCTCAACATATTGGCCACTTCGTTTGAAGGTAATGTACCTTTTGTTTGAAATGAAATTTATTTTTGTATATTTTAGCTTCATTCCCGTATATTTGCATGCTGGTATATTCCCAGCATAGTTTGTGTATAAAAATTGTTTTTTTTTGGCTGTATTCTAAACTCCACTATTTTTCCTTTTTCTGCCAGCTATCGAAATGTCAGACAATAAAAGTGTTCTCTTGCAAACGATTCAAAGTTCATATTTGAATCCGGATGGTGCTGATGTTTGGTTTGTGTTTGATGGCGATCGAGTGCCAGGTCACAAATTCCTTTTAACCGGATTGAGCCCATGGCTGAACATAACGTTCAATAGCTCGCTACCAGAGACTGGAAATGTTGATATGACCAATTCACAAGTGACAGTCGCTGCGTTTAAGGAATTCTTACAATTTTTCTACATGGACGATGTAACCCTAACAATGGAAAATATTGAGGGTGTTATTCACTTTGCCAAACAATCGTTATCGAAGGATGTTTTTACGAAGTGTGAACAATTCCTAATCAAATCGTTTACAATGGACAAAATATTTTATGGACACCAATTGGCGCTACTGTACGAGGCGGATGCACTGAAGGCGTTTTGCGAAGATGAGATCTGTGTCAATGCAGAAGCAACATTTAAATCGTCAAGTTTTTTGGATTTTCCGTATTCGATGCTGCTAACAATTCTGAAATTTGATTCGTTGGTCTGTGAAGAAAAAGACATTTTTGATGCGTGCATCGCATGGGCAAAAGCGGCTTGTGATCGCAACCAAAAAGATTCAAAAATACTCGAAAATCTACGAGCCCAGCTGGATGACTTAATCTATCAAATTCGTTTTAGTTCAATGACAGTAGACAAAGCAACCGAATGCATCAGATCATGTCGTGGACTATTCACGGCCGCCGAAATGGAGGAAATCATGTGTATGGTCAACCGTAAATTGGATTTTATAGAGAAAAAGTTCAATTGGACACCACGGTATTACAATCCGAAGTCAGGCAGAGGTAATCAATTGCTCTGTTCACGATATTCATCTTCTGACAAAACCAATGATGAATATAACCCCAGAGGGTCCGAAAAAATAACATTCACCTGCAATCGACGCGTTGTATTGAATGGTTTCTATTACGAATGTTCGGGCTTCGATGGTGAATCGTTTACGGTCACAATTACTGAAGCAAAATCTGAAAATGTGACTGAACGCTATAATCAAGAAGTGACGTTTGATTATGGGTCCGGAGTAATAAGTAGAAAATGTTCCAAAGGAAGGATACTCCATGAACGCTACGTTGAACTAAACAGACCAATTTTGCTGCGGCCCAATTACACTTACGTAATTTCGATGAGCTATCGAAACGATGTGCACGAACCTGTCTTTATTCACCGATTGGCAAATACAGTTAGAGTTGACCATGATATTGTGATTAAATTTCATGACCATGGAAATATCACTCAGCTCAGTCTCAGTCGATTTGATAGAAAAACCTATCTTCAAAAAATTGTTCACAATCCCAAAACGTGGATTTTGGCATCAGTGACAATCGTTGGAGTTTCCTTATACTTCTTCAGAAACCAATTGGTTCCGAAATTCAAATTCACAGCTTTTCCACATTTTGATAGAATAAAATATTGGTAAAAAGGAAATCACTGTAAAATGAACTAATCGCTCAATTTATTCGCGCTAATGAAACTGAAAAATGCTGGATTTTATATAAGTTAAGTTTATTTAGAAATAGTGAATCCAGATTTTTTCCTTTCAAATTTGTAAACATTCGAAATCGAACGTTTTTACTTGTATAAAGAAAAGAATAAATGAAAAAAGTAATTTCCATTCGTTCTCACTTTGAAATTGGCGCTAGTGAATAGAGCAGTCGGCGCATATACCAATATTCCAGCTGTCAACGAAATGTCAAGTGGCTTATGGAAACCAACAACAACAAGTACATCGCAGATATCGTTGAACATAAACATTGAAAAGTGTCAAACAAGTTGCACTTCTGTTTCGTACTCGGTTCTGGATTTAATTTTTTTTTTCATAAAACCAACTGAAAATTACATTTGCATCCATATAAACTCTCTGGCCATGAGTTTCCAGTTTAATTTCCAAACTCATTCCAGTATGTATTAATTTGTTTTGTTTGTGATTCCGAATCATACCGGCCGGGCCGACACATATAGAAACATCATGCAATCAATTTTGTGGTGGTTTTTGTTGGGGTCAATTTGACACTGTCAAATGTCGTAAACCTCAAAAATGTGATTTTATTTGATTTTTTTTTCGAAAATCTCTAATGAAAAAAATCATGATCATTCCAGATACCAATGGCACATCCTCTGAACGACTGCATGTATTCGCTTCAGTCAAAAGAGATGAATCGAAGCTGGTCGACGCATCATCGGACATTTCAACGAAAAAAGTGGTGAAACAGCGTACAAATTTGCTGGCGATGCAAACAAGTTCACGACTTTTTTCAAACCGTGACAAAACTGGTGACATCAAATTCAAAGTAGGCCACGAAGAGATTTGGGCACACAAATGTGTGTTGGCGGCACTGAGTCCAAAGTACGAAACACAATTCTACGGTGCTGGTGAATTTGATGACAAAAACAGCAATATGATCGAAGTAAAGAAAGTCATTTCAGTTTTCATTGATATTCCATCACTTCGTTTGTCATCATTGTTCCACACTAATAATTTTATTTGTTTTTTTTTGCGATTTTCTTTCTCTCCTAGGTAAAGGAAGTGACAGCGGCTGCTTTCACGGAATTTCTTCAATTTTTCTATTTGAAACACTTTCAATTGACACACGAAAATATTGAGCACGTTTTTACACTGGCCGAAGCATCACTGGTTGAGGAATTTGTCGATTTATGTATTGGTTTCCTCACCGAAACGGTGTCCAATGAAAATGTGTGCCAAAGTTATTACCTGGCCATGAAGCATGGATGCGAGAATTTGATCGAGACTTGCGAACGAAAACTCAGCTTGCATTCGGACGAAGTGTTCGCATCGAATGGGTTCATCGCCAGCAATCGTGAGGTGATTTACAACATTCTTCAATTGGATTCGTTGAACTGCAAAGAAACCGAAGTGTTCAACGCTTGTGTGGCATGGGCCAAGAATTTTTGCACCGAAAATGGCACCGATCCAGAGGATAAGAAGAATTTACGTGAGGCATTCGTTGGGACAGCAACTCCACCGGTGAATTTATTACATCAAATTCGCTTTGGTGTCATGTCAATCGAAGAGTTCATGGTGTGCTACAAGTCGTACAAGAATCTCTTCACCGAAGACGAACGAGAAGAAATCCTGTATACCATTGGCAAAGTGACCGACACAAAGCCGAAGCGATTCAACGAGGAATTACGAGATGTTCCGTATCGGAAATGGAGCGAAGACGCCAAAATTGAATGCAATCGAATTTTCGCTGAAACACCATTGGCCAATTTCCATTTTGGTGCGTACAAAACCACATTTTCCTTCAATAAACCGATTTTGTTGGGCGGTTTCTACTGTGGATGTCTATTCGAAAATGCCGGCAGTGGCGTCAATGAAAAACTTGTATCGGCCAACTTAACCATCATTCGGAAACACACAACACAAGATGCCGATGGAAAGATGGTTTTCAACAGCGTTGAACAACTGGCATTTGGCACGAAACAACAAGCCACCGTCAAACTTCAACGACCGATTTTCATCAAACCCGATTTTGTGTACGAAATTCAATTGGAATTCAAAGAAGGTTTCAGCGTGAAAAATTACGAATTCAAAAAAGAAGTGACTTTGGATAAGGACACAACGGCCACATTCCATGAGACTCAAGGTCTAGTTACTTGTCTGATTGTGAACCTTTGTAATGGCGAGGTTGATGAAATGGTCGAATTCAAAGCTACACCAAATATTTTCCGTAACAACTAAGAACATTTTTTTTCATCAGCTTTAAAAAAAAAATGCAAATCATCACAATCTAATTAATTGAATTAATAATAAATTCTATGAAAACCAATTTTCAATAAACATTTTTTTTTGATTTTCTTTCATTCTCTTTGTTTTTTTTTTTCAAATGAACTTGAATAAGACCGGTTTTTCAATAGGGATACAAACATTCCAATAAACTTTGATGTGACTGGAATTCGTATCCCTCGACAAACGTCAAAGTGATCCTCTGTCAATTGTCAGCTGGTTGCACTTCAACGTTTCGAATATACGCATATTTCTCAAAGGAAACAAACGAAAAAAAGACACAAATTTCTTCACGAATCGGTTTGTTGATATATATTTATTCATTGGTCTAAATTTAATTTTAATGCTTTTCTTTTCATTGGTTGGGGTTTTACTTTCGTGTTCTCTAAATTTAATGTGTTGTGATGACATGCCGGTTCTGTGTTGACAATATCAACTTGATATTGAGAAGTAGAAAACAAATGTTCGAATTTGAAATAAACTCGCAATTTTTAGAGGAAGAAAGAAGATTAATCTATTGAACGATCCTATTGTTGAAAAGGAAAAAAAAAACTATTCTTTGTGTAGGTTTACTTTTAAATTCTACAAAGTTCCAGTAATCACAGAAACAAAGCTTATTCTCGTCATTCCCAGAACATTTTGACAGTTCACAGAATATTCATTATGCAATAGCATCAATCTTCAACACCTTACCAAGTTGATGGAAACAATCCATTGGATCAGAAATTGCGACTCTAAATTGATAATTCGGAATCGATATTTTTGTGAACTTTAGCTGGATTTAACGATTTTTTCGAAGTCATTTTTAATTTTTTTCGATATTTACAGCCGCATCACTCAAAAATACATGAACATTGAATTCAAGAGATCCAGTCAAGCACAGAAGCATTATCCTCGGTAGTTAGAACTAATTCGATACGGCAATTGAACGTAGAAAGGGTAAAGCAAACTGAAGCTATGTCAAATTATCTAAGCACGTCTTTTGTGTGGAAAAGCTAAAAACATAATTTTCAACAAAACCATTCATCCTTTCCAGATCATTATGGGTCAATCGGACTCAAAGCCCGGAAAATGTCCGAATGTTCGCAAGAACCCTTTAGTCAAGCAGACATTGGAAAAACTCCATTCGGAAAGAGATGAAACTGGTGATGTTACGTTCATCGTTGAATCAGAGTTGATTCGTGCCCATCGATGTGTTTTGGCGACGCATAGTCCAAAATACAAGGCTCAATTCTACGGTGCCCATCCGGATAAAATTCAAATTTCCGTGGACGTTGTATCGGCAGTGGCTTTCAAAGAGTTTCTACAGTTTTTCTATTTTGATGAAATCGCTTTGACCGTGGAAAATATCGAAGCCGTGTTGAATTTGGCAAAGCAATCGCTCGTCGATACTTTTGTTACCGAATGCATCAATTTCCTGATTGAAGTGGTGACTGTGGACAACTTATGCTGGGCCTATCATATAGCAATCTTCCACGATATCAAACAGCTGAAAGATCATTGCGAACAAGAAATCAGTGCCAATGCAAAGAAAGTGTTCGCCGGTAAGGATTTCATCAAATGTGATCGAGACCTGCTCATTCGAATTCTGAAGTTGAATTCACTGTGCTGTAAAGAGACCGAAGTATTCGATGGCTGTATCGCATGGGCGAAGGCAATGTGCAAACAGAAGAATGTTGACACCGAAAAAGGCGTTAATCTACGTGCTGCGTTGGGAAAAGCCATCCCAGAGATTCGCTGGAGCTCCATGACCGTCGAAGAATTTGCCGCTATTCATAACAAATTCAAGGGATTTTTCACTGCCGATGAATCCAGTGAAATATTTTGCATAATTAGCAAACTCAAAAATTTCAAATCGGAACGATTCAATCAAATTCCACGTGAGCAAACGGAACCGACGCCGGTCAAACCAAACGATGAACTGATATCGAAACCACATCTGAGATGCGATCGAACTGCCGTAGGCAAAATTGAATTTGATTTAAAAGGAAATGATTCTGTTCTGTTTTTCTGTAACCAAGGTATTTGCCTACAAGGGTTTGTACTTGGTTCTAAAGATATTAATGAACTTAAAGTTGATGTGATGCTTGAAAAAGTACATTTGCAAAACTATCCCAAAACTCTAGTACACAAGGGATCATGGAACGAAACGATGGTCCTTTTTGGAAAACCAATCGATATCAAACCACTTGATCGGTGCTACATTGATGTAAATTCGAGCTCATTTTTCGCTTGCAAAGATGTTTATGGACTGAAATCTGATGTTAGAATTGATGATATTTCATTTAAATTCCCATTATCAGGCATAGTACAACCGATGGGTTTGATAACTTGTTTGTTATTTAGTCGATTGGATTAGACTTAGATGCAGGATTATTATTATAGAGAAACTTTTCGTGACAGACTGTCTAATGGGCATAGAATCGGTTGTAACAAAATACGACGTCATAGATTGACTTGAAAACTTGATTGGAATGAACACATTTTTAATATGAACAATCAGAAAAATAAAATTAATATTTTCGAATTACATTTCACACTAAGCAATAGAATGGTAGAAAAGATAGCTATATTTTTAAGTTCCCCTATTCCAATGGATCTGAAATAAATCTTTTATACAGACGTACAGAGTGACGTGTAAAATATGTGTAAAAAAAAAGTAATGTGAAATGTTGATCGAAAATGACGGTGCTCAAAAAGACCTAAATTAAATAAGAAGAGTCTCATCTTTTGATTGGTGACATTTTTAGAACGAAAATATATTTTTTCTTTATTTTTCTACTATCTATCAAAACGTTTGAATTTAAGCAAGTTTATATACTTCAAAATAATGTCACTGCCAAAAATTCACCAAGAATTCACATTTACCGTTAATTTTATTGTCCGTTAAAATGTCTAAATTCGTTATCTAATAAAATGCAAAATTAAATCCATAAATGGATCAAGGTGCAAATTGAATATGAAAAAGATACAAACGATCTTACTGATGAAATAAACTTTCGAAAAAGTGAATAATGAAAAAAAATCTGTGGAATAAACGAGGTCGAATAATAAATGGTAAACATTACCGATTTTTGAATTGTTGTTTCTTTTTTCGTTAATTTTTTCCATCTATGTCTTTTTTTTTCTTCTTCATTTTCTTTGTTCCCCCTCACTTTCTTACAATTTAAGTTATTTTAAAGCTGCTTTTTCTCAATGAGAAATTCTGAGCATCTTTTTGAAACTAATGCCACAATTGAACTGCTGAGAATAAAAGGCTGACGATTGCAGGTTTTTCGCAAAAGCGGGATAAAAATCAGTCGCACGCAAAAGAGACATTTCAAAAGGTTGCACGCAAACGGAACATTTTATTTTGTCACATTTCGAATTTTCAAGCCGTGATTACAACAACAATATACTTCTCTCTTGCGTGCAACCTTTTGAAATGTGTCTTTTGCGTGCGACTGATTTTTATCCCGCTTTTGCGAAAAACCCACAATCGTCAGCCTTTTATTCTCAGCAGTTCAATTATTCTCTGGATGAAGGAGCCTTTTCTGTTTTTTGTGTTAAGGAAATTTTCAGAGGACATTAGATTTGGAATTCTTAAGAAGAAGAACATAGGTAAATGTAATGGAATTGATGAAATAGATCTTTAGCTCATTTTGTGACTTATTAAAAGAAGCGGAATAATTTGAAATCCATATAAAGTATCTATTCATTGAATAGTATTCAACGTTGAACAACGAACATAGGCGAAATTAATGAGACATTTATTCAAAGTTAAAACCAAAACAAACCATTCAATCAAAATTCCTATAAAAAAGCAATAAACAAAAAATGAATTTACAAATTTGCAATCAAAATAAGGTAACCAAAAATTATCGCAATATTCTTATCGTACAATTACCAAAATAAAACGGTAAACAGGTAAACAACTTGCATTCTCTTCTTGCAAAAAAAAACCATTCGTTCTGAATGATTCACAGAAACTCGAACACTTGCAATTAACCAAAACCACGGTCACCTTGTCTGATGCACTTGATTGGAGATAACAAAAATGTATTTTGGAAATCTATGAATAATCACAACTTTTCAGTCATGGCTTTAAAAATAAAATGAAGTAAACATCATAATTCTGATAGCTCAATCAACATCGCACTCTCCAACTGCTATATAATAACCGTGATTTCTTCAATCGAATTAAGTTTCTATTCGAAGCAACTTGTCTTGTGGAAAAGTAAACAAAGCGAAAAATGCAATTAAATCTTGTGTGTTTATTCTCCGCTGTGGTGTTGATGTGCTGCGGTTCTAGTGCAGCGTTCAAAATGGACTTTCCTTGGACTCGAACCAGAGTTCTCGATCGTTCAGAGTCGCAGTACCCATCGCCAGGGTATTATGTATTACCGGTTGACAAAACCGCCTTTTCGGTCAGTCATCCAGTTTGGCTACAGCAATTTGATGTGTCAAAAATCTACGTCTACGACCCGGTCAAAGAAATTGTCTCCGACAATGTCACCGTCAAATTTAGAATCGTCGAAATTTTGGAAAACGTGCACGGAAAAGGAATTTTCAAAGGTGAAACCGTTCTCAATTCAACGCACGAAGCTCGAGTCTATACAAATCAATCCGATAGAGGAATTTTGCTGAAACCGGGCTACACTTATGAAATTCACTTGGAAATTCCACAAGGCAAACAACTGATGTACAATGAATTTTTGGAGATCAAAGAGTTCAAAATCCGACGATTCTTCCACAATTATATTTATGTGCGTTTCTATCAAGTCAACCCGGACACCAAACCACCATCTGAAGACGATAAAAACCGCAAACTCTCATACGGAATGGTCAAACGACTTCATTTGAAATATACTTTGTTTTAAATAGAAACACATTCAACTCTTCAATGCTTTCACATCAATTTTGGGCGGTGTTTTCCATATTTGGAGTCAATTGTCGAAAAAAATGAACTCAAAATGGGTTAAAAGACAAAAAAGCAAATTTTTGGATTTTTCTCAAACAAATTTAAAGTTTTAACGTAAAATTGTAATGAAAATGAAATAAAAAAAATTTGTCAGCACTCAACAGATTTTGATGATTTAGAATGATTGTTTACAGGGAAACGAGTTTGGGTTCATTGGTCAAACGGATTAAAATGGTTTGAACTTGATTTTCTATAAAAAAAAACTTTGAAATTTCTCTATGATCATTGATCATTCCCAATCGTTAGCCTTACTCAGAGCCATTTCTAGCGGGGGTTCAAGTGGTTCAAAGAACCAGGGCGCACGAGTGCCCTAGGCGCTCGTGGGCGCTCCGACTTGAAAATTTTCTGAAAGTTGCGCGAGAGCGCCGAAGGCGCTCGAGCGCTTTTTCTATAAATTAAAAATTTTCAATGTTCTTGAATGAAGCGTGAGAGCGCCGAAGGCGCTCGAGCGCCGTTTTTCATTCAAATTTGGAACACAAGGGCGCCGAAAAATATTCAAGGGCGTCAATGGGAAGCAATTATTTATTTTAAAATAAAGAATCGCTTTATTGATTGTTTTCGTCGCCCCTGCCTTTTTCGGTGCCGTTGAGTTTCAAACTGAGAAGACGAATGCATTTAAAAGAGCGCTCGATAAAGTTTAATGGTATGAGTTTTGATTCGAACAAGTGGCAATTAAAACAGTGTCCGAAAAAAAATGCTAAACAAAACGAAACCCAGTTTTTTTTTCATACGGAGCTATTGAACTCTATGTAGAAAAAACTATGTGTTGCATTCAATACAGCGACCAATTCAGTACGATGTTTTTATTCTCGGCGAATCATTTGTGCATACGCAAGAAAAAATATGGTTATTGAATGTGTCGACTCTATGCATTAACAAATTTCGTTCAAAAATTATTCATTTAAAATTCAAATAAATTCGAGTCTTTATTTTTCTCTGCCAAAATGAGCCACACAAACATAGCGTCCAAAGCATTACAAACAATTCAGTCAAATGTTCAAACGGCTCTGACATCTCTTGAAAGTGTGATGAATTTTCTTGAAAGTTATAAAGAAAATGGCTGCGAAAAGGTTCTCAATGAAGCAACGGAAATTTGCGAACGCATTTCGATTGAAGTTGAATTTGATCATCAAAAACGTCGAGCGGCTAGAACAACTGTTACAAATGCAGAGGAATTTGAAACAAAAGTTTTCTTACCAATCATTGAATCCGCAACTGATTCAGTCACTGATCGTTTCAAAGCACTAAAGCAACACAGCGAATTATTCTCGTTTCTTTATGATTTTGAAAACTATGAAGCAAACCGAAACAACGGTAGTTTGCAGAAATCATGCAAGAAACTAGAAATTGCTTTAACTCATGATGGAAAATCCGATATCGATGGTGACGATTTATTTGTAGAACTTTCATTGGTTTCAAGTTTGGTTAATCAGGATAATATTATTCACGCAATCGATATACTGAATTCAATTCAGAAGCGAAAAATGGAAAACTTAGTTCCAAATGCTGTTATTGCGCTTCGCATTCTGCTGACGATCCCAGTTTCTGTTTCAACGGGAGAGCGATCGTTTTCAAAGCTAAAGTTAACTAAAACTTATCTCAGAAATGCAATAGGTCAAGACAGGCTCAATCATCTGGCAATCATATCGATAGAAAGCGATGTAGCAAATTCGATTCAATATGACGACGTGATTGAAGAATTTGCCACTTCAAAAGCGAGAAAAAAGACATTTCTTTAAGTCATTTTAATGTATCATTTTTTTGTTGCTTTTCAAATAAACTTGGATCAAATGTATCATTTTTGAGATTTTTTCACACACTTTTAAAAATTCCAGTTTGAAAGGGCGCCAACGGATTTTGAACCAGGGCGCCAGCGAAGCTAGAAATGGCTCTGGCCTTACTCACCTTGTTTGTGCCAGTTAGTACTCAACAAAGATAAGAAAATTCCAGGAAACTTCAAAACTCGAAATCACCAATAATTCACTTTAAAAATAAGTCAATTGTTATGAAGTTGAATCGATAAGACGATCAAAATATTATTTTTTTTCCATTTTTCGCTATATAAAGACCAAAACACTTCTGAAGGAATCAAACGTTCAAATGTGAGATTTATTCGAGATATGTTTTGTTTCGAACGGAAACGCATTTACGGATTTTCAACAAAAAAAGGCATGAAGACATTTTTTAAAACAAACAAATTCAATTTTTTTAATGAAATTGAGAATAGACAGCAGATTTCAGTGACTTGATCTTGATAATTGTTCAAAATTCGTGCCTAAAAATGTACCTACAATATTCATTGATGAGCTTTTGATTTCGTTTCATTAAGTTCATCACGGTAAATATCTGAGAAGCAACTATAATGTAAACATTGGGTTTTTTTCCATTCAAAATATCTCAATCATTGCTGCTATGGTACTGTGGCAGATTTGCAACGCAAAATAATAATCGCATTATCATTCAATCTAATGGTAAACCACTTGGAATCCCGTTGAAATTTGCTATTGTTTTTGGTTGATTCGAAGAATCTCGAAAACTTTCAATTAATTTTCCATAATTCTTCTGGTTTGAATCAGACAATATTTGTTATAATCTTCGAAAAATTCCAAATCTTCAGTCATCCACTTTAAAAATAAAATCAAGTGTCATGATTTTGATAACTCAATCAAAATTGCACTCTCCAACTGCTATATAATCCCCGTGATTTCTTCAATCGAATCAAGTTTCAATTTGAAGCAACTTGTCTTGTGGAAAAGTAAACAAAGCGAAAAAGATGCAATTAAAACTTGTGTGTTTATTCTCCGCTGTGGTGTTGGTGTCTGGCGGTTCCGATGAAACATCCGGAAGAACTTGGAAAAGTTTCCGAACATGGATCCTTGACCGTTCAGAGTCGCAGTACCCATCGTCAGGTTATTATGTGTTACCAGTCGACAAAACCGCCTTTTCAGTCAGCCATGAAGTTTGGCTACAGCAATTTGATGTGTCAAAAATCTACGTCTACGACCCGATCAAAGAAATTGTCTCGGACAATGTCACCGTCAAATTTAGAATCGTCGAAATTTTGGAAAACGTGCACGGAAAAGAAATTTTCAAAGGTGAAACCATTCTCAATTCAACGCACGAAGCTCGAGTCTATACAAAACAATCCGATAGAGGAATCTCGCTGGAACCAGGCTACACTTATGAAATTCACTTGGAAATTCCACAAGGCAAACAACTGATGTACAATGAATACTTAGATATCAAAGAGTTCAGCATTTGGAGATTCATTTACGATAATATTTTCGTACGTTTTTATCAAGTCAACCCGGATACCAAACCACCATCTAAAGGCGACAACAACCGCAAACTCTCACATGGAATGGTCAAACGGCTTCATCTGAAATATGTTATGTTTAAATAAAAGCGCACTTGTGTCGCACAAATGAAAAATTTTAAATTCGAAATTGGCCAAAGAGAAGAAAAAACTATTTTTTTACATTTTTCAATCAAATTGAACGTAAATTTGTTATGAAAATGAAATAAAATATAGAAATCATTTTGTTATCTCATTAAAACGAAGAAAAATTGTCAGCCGATTTTGATGATTTACAATGATAGAGTCAAATAAAGCCAGACAAAATGCCTTAAAAAATTTCTCTTCAACTTTTTTCTGCGAAAAATGCTGAACATTTTCATGACCATCCACAACATATGACTTGGAGTAATCACTGATTGCCAATCAGCCCATTCGATACAAAGTATAAAAATGTTCATGCAATTGAATTCGATCAAAAATTGCCTCCATGAAAAAGCTTTGGTAAAGTTTCTTTTTGACAAAAAGTGTTTGTAAGTTACAAATTGTAACCAGGCCAAATTTTAGTTCCAATAATCGACAAAAGGTGGTGGACTTTAAGCTTTTGTAAATGAATCGTGCTAAAAAATTAGGTCAATATTCTTCAAATTATAAAATTTCATCGGTTGGTGTCTTCTTTTCGATCAATTTATGCCTTTATTTCGAATCGAAACTTACGATCTATCGATGTTTTTGTATCGATTCGATGCATTTCTTCATTTAAGACGATGAATGAGTTGGTTTCTAATGAAAACTTTCCACCAATATTTCGGTCGTAATTCGACTGATGTCTGCGTTTGATTTAGAGTTATTGATGTCTTTGTTTGATTGATTTTTCTTTGTCTAATTTATTGTTCTCTCTGTCCAGGCTTATCATTGCATTGTGAAGTTCACAAAGCGCTTGATATTTGGGTCTTAGCACACCGTGATAGATAAGGCGGTTCCAAAGGAGATGCGTCGATTTGTAGTCAAACTCAAAACAAATGCCCTGATTTTGTGCCGATTGACGACTGTGTTTATTCATTTTTATCGCTCTTGAGTTAGTTCAATATAGTTATACTCTTGAATTGATTCTCGTTGTTTGAAAATCATTCTTTTTGTCATTCACATTATTTTCTATAAACATTTGGACAAATAAATAAGATATTATTTACTATTTATTATTTATTACAAACATACGTTTACCGATGGCTCAGCATCTCAGTATTTCGTAACTGCGGATATATCCGAGCATATCGACGACGCAAGTCACTGTATAAGTGGCGTGCGTTGATGCTACATCGACTACACACAAACAGAGAGTGCAGTGTGATTTTCGTTTATGATTTTTTTTTCATTCAAGTTCCACTATGAAATCAATCAACGACATGATCAACGATCAACTTTTCATATATCGATGGCCATTTTGAAACCATTACCTCTTACCTAGGGGGAAAGAACGACTTGACGTATTTGCCGTATTCACGTCCATTTGTAAGTATTTGCATAGCGATCCTCTATGTTATTGTTGTTGTTTTCATGTTGCTTCGTCTCGTTCGTAGTGAACAGTGCTTGCTGAGCACGAATAAGAATGGCAAATACGCATACATCTTCTAGAATTCGTTTGTCGTATTTGTACGCATTTGCACGTTTTGTTAGGCATTGGCAATATTTCCATGTTATCTTTGAATTTGTGTCGATCTTTCCCCCTAGCCTCTTATCAATCGATCAATTTCTGTGAATGGTTGCAGCAATTTGACATCCTAAAATTGTATTTATACGATTCATCGATTGATCAAACATTCCTGAAAACAGTACTTACCACAAAGCATGAAGCCAAATGCCAACATCGATAATAAAAACGCCTTTGCAACCTAGATTTGTGTAGGAGATTCAATAAGAAATACCGAATAATATGTACCTGGTGCATTGTACCATTTCTACAATGAATATCTTGAAGATCAGAAAATTTCAATGGACACTATTCCACAACAGCATACATGTGGCTCTTGATCAGTATTAAGTGATTTTGAATCTGCCGGAAAATCATGAACGTTCACAGGGAATTGTCAAGCGACTTCATTTGATTCACTAAAAATGCTAGAAATTGAGCTCAATTTATTAGAGATTATATTGATTTGGATTGATTTAAAACAATTTGAGTGACAAATTAGGTGATAAACTTTATGAATTGATCATTTGATTTATTCGAAAATCAAACTTAAATTGAAATAAATAATAATAAAATGAACGTTTGAGCTGGAAAAAGTCTTGACTTTGTCTAAAGTAATAAAAAGTTGGACAAAAAAAAGCTATCACCTTGAAACTACGCAGCTAACTGCAATCATACTGAACTACTTGACCTCATCGCCTCATTCACTGGAACGGAAAAAAATGTCGAGATAATGGTCGTCATGTTGGTTGCCAAACCATTGTCACTTGTGCTTTGTTCAAATATTTCAAGTGTTGATAAATCGATAGCTTATCGCATCGCTCTTGATGGCCGCTATATAAAAGCGAATTATTTACGTATCATCGTTTAGTAACAAAAATGTAACAATAACGGTGTCTTTCACTCTCCAAGTGAAAGTGTGAAAACAAAGAAACTCAGACGACAAATACGAAATGACGCAGTTAAAATGGTGTTTACTGTCGGCGGTGTTGGTGTTGTGCTGTGATTTGGGTGCAACGCAGATGAACGAAAGATTTGGGTTGAATCCAAGACGTTCAATTGAAATTGATCGATTTGCTCCAAATCACGATTCAGCCGGTTATTTCCTGTTGCCCGTGGACAAAACGGCATTCAGCGTCGATCGACCCGTTTGGATGCGTAAATTTGATATTGCAAAAGTCTTTTTATACGATCCAGTCGATGAAAAGCCTGTTCATAATGTGCCGGTTAGAATAAAATTCGTGAAAATAGCCAATCATACTTTGGGCAATGACGCTCCGGCTGAAGTGGTTTTCGTTTCACGCGCTATACTCAATTCGACACACGAAACTCGAGTCAAGGTTCTAGCCAAAGTTCCACTGCATCCCGGATTCACTTACGAAATTCGATTGAAAATGCCCGAGAAAGTGAATTTCATGTATAACGATTTTCTCGACATTCGAGATTACAAAATTAACCGATTCTTTGGCAAAACCATCACTGTGAGCTTTTATCTACATAATCCAATCGTTAATCCACCCAATAGCAACGATCATCGACGCAAAGTCTCACACGGAATGATCAAACGAATTCATTTCATTTACTCGTGGTTCTAGTGTGGAGGCTCGATGGATGGATTACTTTTGGTGCATTCGCTTGCAGATTGAGATGCTAACTATTTTTCGAGAATCTGACTCTACTCTTGGGAAAAATCAGATTTGATCCAACGTCTATTAGCACTCATTTTTGATCTTTAAAATATGCTTAATGAAGCATTCTATAAAATAACTTTCAACATGTACTTGACTTTTCAGTTGTGAAATAAATTTGTTCAGAAAAAAAAAATCCCAGAAAAAAGGTGATCAATGTAATTTTATTCATTTTTTCTTTGATTTAAACCGAAACTCTAAATTTTTGAGTGATTTATTTCAGTAGAATATTTTCCTGCCTTTTAACTGTTTATAACTGCAAATCTTGCATTTAATAGCTATTTAACGCATAAAATAATTCATAATATAAAAATGAAATAAAATAACGAGAAAAGTCCATCGAACGAAATGAAACTTTATCAATAGGGATAACCAACACCAACCTTGCTATTGTCACACTAATCATAAGTGACATAAGGAGATGTATCACAGACTTTGGTGCGCTTATTTATTTCCTAATTGCTTGTTTTGGTAAGAAAAAGATACATACAACAACCAGAGTTGCAATTTAACAGCCGTCAGCTGCATTTTTCGAATTACTTATCATTCCGTGCTTGACTCTTGCAGATCGTTGCTTGAATTCAAAACAATTTTTTCTGCATTTTAACGATACGGAGTTATTTTGGTTCATTTTCAACAAGTTTCCATTTTTTCCAACAAATTCTTCATTTACTGACTGGTTGATTTAGATAAAGAAGAAATAACGTCGTTGAAAAATCATTTTCAGCCAAATTATTTGTCTTCTATTCGACAATCCGTCTATAGGAAGTGTAAAAGCCATTTACATTCAATCCACACAGAAACGACAGTGATTTAATCGAGGTTACAACGGTCAATTAAAACATAATTTAATTGAAATCTTCAAAGATGTCAACCTCAAATGGAAAAACATCATTAATTCGTGACAATAAAGTGGTTAATGAGACGATGAATGTGCTCTATTCGCAAAAAAATGAGACTGGAGATGTGACGTTCGTCGTTGAATCGGAGTCAATTCGTGCGCATCGGAATATTTTGGCAGCAATCAGTCCAAAATACAAGGCTCAGTTCTACGGTGCCCATGCGGACAAAGGTGAAATTCATGTGAACGACGTATCAGCAGCCGCGTTCAACGAGTTTCTACAGTTTTTTTATTTGAACAGAGTAGATTTAAATACAAAAAATATCGAGGGAGTGTTGAATTTGGCTAAGCAATCGCTCGTCGACGCCTTTGTTACCGAATGTATTGATTTCCTCATGGAAGTGGTGAATGTGGATAACTTGTGCTGGGCTTATCGATTGGCAATTTCGTATGATATCAAAAAGCTAAAGGATCATTGTGAACCACAAATCAGCGCCAATACCAAGAAAGTGTTTGCGAGTGAGGACTTCATCAACTGCGATCATGATTTGCTCATTCACATTTTGAAACTGGATACGATGGACTGCAAAGAGACCGAAGTATTCGATGCCTGTATCGCATGGGCCAAATCAATAGTCAGACAAGAAGATATGGATAGTGGAGATATGGAACACCTGCATGCCACATTGTTCGATGCAATAACCCATATCCGATTCAGTTCAATGACTGCCGAAGAATTTGCTGAGATTCATAGCAAGTACAAAGGGTTTTTTACGGCTGATGAATCCTGTGAAATTTTCTATATGATTGGTAAATTAAAAGGCTATAAATCACAACGATTTAATCAAACGCCACGGAATCAAACAAAAAAACCTTTGCATAATGATCAAGTTAAAACAGCTCCAGTTCAACAGGGACATTTACAAGCGCAATCAAAAAATAGTGCGCCTATAATGACAAATCAAAGCGTTAATATACCATTTGTTAGGGAACAGATCGCTATGACGCGCCGTCGGTTACTTGATTTGCAATGAATCATTAATTTTTCTCTTCAATCAATACAGATAAAATATTTTGTGCCCGCACATTTTGCTATTTTTTAAATATTTTTCTTCAATAAATGTAGAAACGACCGAAATAAATGTAGAAAATATTCAACTAATGAATTTGACAAGAGTATATTGTATGCCATATTCAAAACCAATAAAAATGTATTCCTTTTTTTGACCAAACCAAAAAGTTTTGGATTTTTTCACTATTCACTGTATCACTGTATGATCTATTGTCATCAATTCATTAGCATTGTGGACGCTTATCTCTGTGCCATCGTTATCGTTTCTTTATCTGTGTGATTTTTAAATGGTTATAAATTCTTTCCCCAGATAACAATCTACTAATATCTCCTCAATCATGTTAAGCCTTTATCAATTATTTAAGTATTGATACAAAAACCAAGAATTTTACAGGTCAATCTTAGTTGAAATAAACTCCATAATAGTAACTCTTAAACATATATTTCAAGACTATAGATTGTATGTAGTTGAACAGTTGTTCAGTACAAATTAAAATAATATGATTAACTAATTTGAACTATCAAACTGCATGCTAAAAAAATTTGATCATGGCTTGGCCAAGCGTTAAACGAAGTCTGATTGCTAGACCATCCTCACTTAATATGTTTTATTGAGATGGTTTAAGAGGATAAGTTTAAACAAGTAATCAAACAAACGAAATGCTACGACAATATTTCTGTCCTTATTCAGACTTCAGTAACCGTCAGTATATAACTTAGGCCTCTTAGAAAAAAAAAGTTCGAAATTGCGTGTATATATAGGCGAGTTCGACTTTCAGCACAGAGGTGCTTTCGTCACTCGCGCCCGCTGTCGCCGGCTGTGATAAAACGACATGACATAACGAGAAAAGTCCATCAAACAAAATGAAACTCCATCAATAGGGGCATCCAACGTCAACCTTTCTGTTGCCACACTAATCATTAGTGACTAATGAGATGTATCGTATCTTTCACTTTGGTGCGCTTCCTTATTTCGTAATTGTTTTTTTTTTTGGTAAGAAAAACATTTAACAGATATAGTCAGATGCATTTTTTGAATTAGTTATCACTCCGTGCTTGGCTCTTGCAGGTTATTGCTTGAATTTTTAACGATTTTTGCTTCATTTTCATCAAGTTTCCATATATTTTTAAGAAAATCTAAATTTATTGACGGTTGATTTTCAAAAAAGTGGTTCAAAAAATCATTTTGAGCAAAATATTTCATCTTCTGTTCGACATCCCGTCTGTAGAAAGTGAAGAAACATTCATTCTTACAAAAAAAATAAATCAATAAATTGATATTAAAGTCATCGAAGATGTCAAATTCAAATGGTAAAACATCATCAATTCGTGACAATAAAGTCGTTAAAGAAACGATGGTGGCACTCTATTCGGATAGAGATGAAACTGGAGATGTGACGTTCATCGTTGAATCGGAGTCAATTCGTGCGCATCGATGTGTTTTAGCTGCAATTAGTCCAAAATACAAGGCTCAGTTCTACGGTGGTCATCCAGATGAAGGTGAAATTCACGTGGCCGACGTATCGGCAGCCGCTTTCAATGAGTTTTTACAGTTTTTCTATTTGAAAAAAGTGATTTTGAATACGAAAAATATCGAGGGAGTCTTAAATTTGGCCAAGCAATCGCTCGTCGACGCCTTTGTTACCGAATGTATTGATTTCCTCATGGAAGTGGTGAATGTGGATAACTTGTGCTGGGCTTATGGATTGGCAATTTTGTATGATATCAAAAAGCTAAAGGATCATTGTGAACCACAAATCAGCGCCGATACTAAGAAAGTGTTTGCGAGTGAGGACTTCATCAACTGTGATCACGATTTGCTTATTCATATATTGAAACTGGATACGATGGACTGCAAAGAGACCGAAGTATTTGATGCCTGCATCGCATGGGCGAAATCAAAATGTAGACAAGAAGACATGGATAGTGAGGATATAGGAAATTTGCGTGCAAAACTAATCATGGCAATCAAACATATCCGATTCAGATCGATAACTGCCGAAGAATTTGATGAAATTCATAGCAAGTATGGAGGGTTTTTCACGGCTGAAGAATCAAAAGAAATTTACCAGATAATTCGTGGAGTCAAGAATATTAAAACGCGACGATTCAACCGAACATCACGACAAAGTGATAAAGACTGTGCGAGGACTAGAATACATAGAGCTAGGCGGAGAACGTTCCGTTTTTAATGACAAAAACAATCATATTCATCATACGAGATATTTCAGATTTTCCTAAATACTGTGACTCTTTGGTAATATTGCAGACAATGGTGATTTTGCGGCTCTGTTGACAGCTAGCATGACAGCAACTGCAATGAAGACATATATCGTAAAAATATACATTTTATATTTTAAGTACAAAAGATAGCACTCCAATTTCACTAAGAAATTGTTTTTTCTTTTTTCTGTTGTTGTTAGTTACAATAAAATATGGTCAGCCATAATTTTCAATAAACAATTTTTAAAAATCGAAGGAACGAACGAACTGTAACGACAATATTTCTGTTTTTATTCAAAGTGTAACTGCCAATACATGAAATAACTTATAAAATAACATAACAAGAAAAGTCCATTGAACGAAATGAAACTCCATCAATAGGGGCAACTAACGACAAAGGCTGTTGTCACACTAATCATTAGTGGATGTTGAGATTTATCAAATCTGTCACTAGAGAAGCCTACCAATTCTCTATTTCCTAATTGCTTTTTTTGGTAAGGAAAAATTACATCTAACGGCCAGAATTGGTATTTAACAGCCGTAGTCAGGTGAATTTTTTGGGAATTAGTTGTCATTCCATGCTTGGTTCTTGTAGATCGTTAGGAAGTTTAAAATCAATTCACATTCAATTTTTCAAAACAACAACAGTGATTTGAACAATTTATTTCCAAAAAAATTAAATAAATTAAAATCTTCGAAGATGTCAAACCCAAATGAGACGATGAAAGCGCTTTATTCGCAAAGAAATGAAACTGGAGATGTGACTTTTATCGTGGGTTCGGAGTCAATTCGTGCGCATCGATGTGTTTTAGCCGCAATTAGTCCAAAATATAAGGCTCAGTTCTACGATGTTCAACCGGTTGAAAGTGAAATTCACGTAAAAGACGTATCAGCAGCGGCGGTCAATGAGTTTATACAGTTTTTCTATTTGGGAAAAATGGTTTTGACTATGGAAAATATCGAGGGAGTCTTAAATTTGGCGAAACAATCGCTCGTCGATGTTATTGTTACCGATTGTATTGATTTCCTTATGGCAGTGGTGTTTGTGTACAACTTGTGCTGGGCTTATCGATTGGCAATTTTGTATGATATCAAAAAGCTAAAGGATCATTGTGAACCACAAATCAGCGCTAATACTAAGAAAGTGTTTGCGAGTGGGGACTTTATCAACTGTGATCTCGATTTGCTTATTCACATATTGAAACTGGACACGATGGACTGCAAAGAGACCGAAGTATACGATGCCTGCATCGCATGGGCCAAATCAAAATGCAGACAAGAAGGAATAGATAGTGAAGATATGAAAAATTTGCGTGCTAATTTAGACACGGCTATCAAACATATCCGATTCAGTTCGATGACTGTCGAAGAATTCGCTAAAATTCACAGTGAATATGACGGATTTTTCACAGCCGAAGAATCCAATGAAATTTTCCAAATAATCGGTAAAGTCAAAAAGATTAAAACACATCAATTCAATCGAAATCCACGGCAACGTTATATAAGTGGTGGCAGCGCGAGGACTAGATCAATGTTACGAGGCTATTATAGTTACTACTAAGTTTACTAAGACAGCCGCAATAATTTATTGCGACAAACCTTTCAATTGATCAATCACTTTGTTTTCATTTTAATTGAGCTTTCGAGAGCTTTAATTCACTTTCTTCATTTGAACCGTTATATTTTTGATTATTCAAAGCAAGATACTTTTCAGTTATCTATGGAATTGAAATATATTAAATTGACTAATTTAAAAATAACATCGAATGAAAATAATTGATATATAAGATGAACCGAGATTAACATTGAACATTGAACAAAAAGAATAGAAAGGTAATGACCAAAACGAATAAAATAGAGAGAGCCGATCTTGAAAAAAATTTATGCCTCTGTAATAAGTATATTCTAAGAATATTATTTCCAAGCTGAATGATAGCAATCGCGGATCTTTCATTGTATTATTCAACACTTTTCATTTTCCAGTCACTCATCATCATCACCCATTCATTTAACGTTCTAATTTGTCTCTTAATTATCATACATATATCTATTTTATTTTTTTCACTCGAATTCAGAGTCATTTTCTGTTCCACCGCATAATTCTTTCTTGCATTGAAGAAAGCAATACATTTTCTTTATTTAAAAATGAGTACATTGTCGTGATGTGATAACAACAATAAACATTTAGTAACCATTAATACCTTTCTGTGTCTGGTCGTTTTTAAATCAGTATTCCAAGATTAAACAATTCTCCTCCAAGCTAGTCTATCTGAAGCCAATCTACTTGTTTCTTTTCCCCATTTCAAGTCTCTTTCATTCAAAACAAATTTCAGTCATGTATTGTTTGTCCTGACGTGAATTATGAATTTTTTCAATTTATTTATTTTTACATGAAATAAAATCTCTATTACAATAATACGCATATAATATTTCATTGCCATCAATACGCATTTGCTTGAAATTTTAATCGTTTTTAAGCAATTTAGGAAGAATGAATTTTAGGAAAAATGTAATATGAATTTTTCGAAGTAATAAATCGATTTTTTTCGAAAATAAAAATAATCTGAATTTGCTTTGGAACTTTTGAATGACAAAAATATATTTTTAGGTTTGTTTTATTACAAACATCGAAAAAAAAATTGAATCAACATTGAGATAAGAAACGGATCCATTTTCTGGCGGTTGCTGAGCCGCATCAGATCAGTATTAAACGTACGATACTTTGGGCCGCATTGGGAATATACGTTGCATAGCAAGCGAACGTGTCTCATCAAAAAAAAAAACGTAGTGAAGACGCAAACATCGCACCGCAACACCGATATCGCGATTAGTGGCAAATGTGTGACATTTCAATGGCATGGAACTAATCATGTGGCAATTATGTTCCCGGGAACAACTAATGCTACTCCAAAGATGTGGCATAAGAGCTTTTTAGGCTCCGCCCAAGTGCGCTATTCCAGTGACTTATCAATATTTGCAACCGATTAGCAACGAAAGTTTTTGTTGCATAGAAGTTGTATATAGCGATTTGGAACTGGATTTTAGCAGTTTGTGTTACTAGTGCGAACACTTGACATTGGAGCTTACAAACGCAAAGTACTTGCTTCAGTCGACAGTGTGCTTTTGTCGAATAAACCGGCTAAGTAAGTTACGCATGCACTCTGTTTTTTTAAAGTCATTTTTCATTTCGGCATAGAAAGTTATCGGAATCTTAAAGAAATGTGAAAAAAGCTTGTTACGCAGACGTTGATAGACAAATTCAATTATTTAGCGCATTTTTTAAAGCAAATATTTATAGTTGATTTTTATTTATTTTACAAATTTATTTGTCCATTAACTTTACAAGTGGGATAGTTTCGTAAGTGCATTGGATTCGTTTTTGTTAATTTAATTCAGATCACTCAAAGTTTTATGACCTCAATTTATGACCTTCAATTTGCAATGTGATATCAAATGATCAAGTGATATTGTGCCGCTCTTTACGAAATTTACAGAGCACACAAAATCGAAATGGGAATTTTGACGTAAACAAATCGATGAATCGTGGATTTCGCTACTACTTTTTGTTGATCAGTGATAATGGTTCAACCATAACATGAACCACCTAAGTGATTCAACTCTGAACTTATGCGGAGTTAGACGTAAACAGTGTACGCACAGTAACAATTTTGCGCACATTCACAAACGCATGCAAAAAATACAAATGTATACAGTTCTTGTTTATCTCCGCACAACTCAAGATAACGTCAATTTGTTCAATCAAAACGAAACGGCGTATAATTCTGCTTGTAGTATTTTTCGTGGAAGATACTCACAAGACAATTCAGTCGGTTTTTTTTTTATTGATAAGCAATTATGATGAAGTAATTACTCATCACTGTGTGATTTATTGCCGCATAGAAACCTGTCCAGATCGTGTATTTGTTTGTTTAGTCATGGTAATGATGAAGCATGAATTCCTTATAAAGAAGGAATCAAACAAAAAAACAATGAGTTAATTAAAAACATTGAAGTGTATTTTCGATATCGTTGTTATCAAAATTAATTTCAATGACAATGTCATTTGGCGGCGATTCTTATCAATCACGTGTGCCACTTTTGCCCATTTTTGACGCAAATAAAACAAGCAATTTTTGGAAGAGGTGTTACATCTGTGATCTGTATTAGATCATAAATAAATGAATGAATATAGATTGTATTCGAATTTATCTGAGACGCCAGACAGATAACTAAACGGAACGGGACACGTATTTCCCCGAATTGTTTGTTTCAACGTCAGCGAAAAGTAGGTGCTTTTACACAATCGATTCGGTTAAATAATGCTGTAACAATGGCTTTTGTTCGAAATCGTCTAATCCGCACTTGGATTAGGTTAAAGTTGCGACCTGATTAATTTTCATTGCTATATGGTGATCATTGTAAATCGGACAGTGTTTAAAATTGCTTTTTTTTCGGTTTTCAATTCAGTACGGCCAACAAATAAGGTAATGTGTATAAAATGGATTCCAGTAGAAAACCAGAAAAGTCAAATCCACGGAAGGGAGCAAATCCCTTATCACAGCTATTTTTTCTATGGGTTATACCGCTGTTTTGGAAAGGTACACGAAAGGGCTTAAACACTGACGATCTCACACAATGTCTGGAGAAAGACGAATCCGAATCGCTCGGCGACGAGTTGGAAAGGTAAAACTGCCATCAATGTTCAATGAGATTTTCGCGTTTTTACTCTTTTTTTATGCATCACAACTACGCATTTCTTCACCTAGTTTGATTGATTTAATCAATATTCGGTTGTTTGTGTGACATTGAAATGTTTAGAAATAATTTATTTTTGTGACATTTTTTCTCTCTCCCGCAAACAGAGAATGGGAGAGGGAAGTGGAGCGTGCTTCGAGACGTAAGCGTAAGCCACGTTTGCGAAATGCAATGTATCGAATGTTTGTGCCACATTTTATTGTTGATGGGATTGAATGCCTTGCATTTATATTGATCAGGTAAATAAATGTTTTTTTTTAAAATTCAATTTGTAGTTTAAAACATTTTTATCTCGATTCAGATGCATTCTTCCGTTGGTGCTTGCTCAATTGCTTATACAATTCCAGAAGCCAATCGTTTCGGAGAATGCGGTTCAAAACATTTCAAATGATTCAATCAATGATCACTCTCCGAATCAGTTCAATACTTCAGTGATCGAGCGAAATATTCGTAGTGCAAACAATTATTTGCATTTGATTCAAACACGTTCTATTCAATCGTTCTATTCAAAACGAATCTGCTAGATGATGTGACCAAAGACTCGACTGAAAATTATACACCGGCGGACAATTTGCAACGTGAAAAACCGGATCATTTTCGGCATGTCCGCGAGCGATGTGCTGAATTTTACATATTTTTCAATCACGTTTGGAATGACGTCTACTGGCTGGGTAATTTAGTCATTTGGATGGGATTTGCCGCATTATTGTTACAACATCATTACGATTTGCGTTTGCAAATGGTTGGTGCCAGAATGCGAATTGCATGCTGTTCATTGATGTATCGAAAGGTATCCGTCTCTTCATTCAGTTGACATAACGCAATTGGAAAGCATTTGGCCAATTGAACCCGT